CTAATGACAGCAAAATAAAAGTAGATGAGAGGGTTCAACAATTCTTTGGAATACAAGAATTGCTATATCAGATCCAGTCAATGATACCTCTTTCACATTTTCTGGGAGCATCCAGGTAAGAAACTTAAGGATGGATGTAAAAAATCACTTTTTAGATAACTTTAGAATAAAATCTCTTTTGAGAGAGTGATACTTTTGCATTCCGTGTGAATTTTGAAAAGCTTCATTGCATGAATTTCTATTGACTTCCATGGAGACAGAAGGTGGCCTTGGAAGATGGGGTTACAGCTGGGTACACAGAATGCAGATTGTAACTAGAGCAATATAAGTAATAGCAGCATGTCAGTTTAGCCCTGTGGGAATAATGATTACTATCTATAATGATGACTATCTATCTATGGTGTAAAACCTTACTTTGGTGTTATTTCTCCATGTTATAGAGAGTAACTTAGGAAAAACTGAGGGCTTTTATTGAGCCTTTATTTTCAATAGTGTTTCAAAAGCTATTCTTTGTTTTGGATTTTACTCATGTAAATAAAAAAAAAGTACTTAAAAAAGAAAAAAGCTTTATCTGAAATAATAGACTCTCTGGTTTGGTAAATTACCATATTTTTGGAAGTTAGACCTTTTTAAATCCTGCTCGAAAATGCTATTAAAAGGCAATAAACCCAATAAAAACAAATGCGCCTTGCACAGAGGAGCTAAGTCACTTTACACGCAGGTCAAGGAGCGCCTGCCCTGCGGAGCCCAGCGGCTCTGCCGCGGGACGGGCCGCGCGGTGGCAGCGAGAGCTGGGGGCTGCCCGGGACCACGTCCCGTGCGGGGCCAGGGAAGGCCGGAGGAGCCGGCGGAGCCTGCTCTGCTCTCAGGTCTCAGGCCTGGCTGGCGCAGGTGGCACCGTGGGGTTCCCCGAGGAGCAGCTCCTGCCTCTAGGCACGGGCTGGGCAGCGTCTGTCAGGCAGGGTCTGCTTGGCGTCGGTGAGGAGCTGTGCGCGGTGCCGTGCGGGCTGTCCCTTCGGAACCCTGTGCTAGGACTCTTCATGGGCCCTGTGATTTGATGTTTTCCTAGCAATACCTGGTAGTCCAAGTCCATGAAAGGCTGGCAATGCTCCTTAGCAAAACATGTAGCGTAATTATCGGTGGATAAGTCTGATTCATGATATTGGAGCAAACTAAGCCTTAGTCCAACCCCATCAGCGATTGTCAGTGTTAACTTGCTTTGCTCTTAGGGCTTCTGGCCAAATATAACCAGCAGAAACTCAGACGTCTGTGTCTGTTACAACCAAGGACAAATTGCAAAGGACTGCGTTGAAGTGGGAAGTCAAGGAACGCAGTGATACGTGCAGTGATGAAAGCAAATACTTTCCAGAGAGGCCCATGCTAGCTAAAAGTCACAACAGAAATCTCTACAGAGATACTGCTTTTATGGCAATCTGTAATTTCTTTCCCTCTTTCCTCACCTAACCTTTTTATGTTCCACGGGCTATAAATTACTCAGCTCTTTCTTTCCATTAGTAGATAGGCACTTTATCACCTCTCCTCTTTCCTAACATCATTATTACTCTGCAGGAGCTAAGTGTCTTTGCTCTTAGGTGGTCCAGTTGATACATATCTAGTTAGAAGCAGAGCATTTTTTTCTTAACTTGCTTTGAAGTGAGTTGCTTTGATTTCAGACCTGAAGAACAGCTTCACGTGCCTGAAAGTTTTTCTCCTTTTTCCATCTGTACTAGTTGGTCTAATAAAATATATTACCTCTGCCTATAAACTTTGCCTTGCCTGTAGACTGCTATCATTATTAGTGAAGCAGAGAAAGCAAGTTTTCATGTAGCAAGTTAAAGTGCATGTGTGAAGATTAGGGCTCTTTTTTCCTGAAAGATTAGTGATTTTGGATTAACCTTCCTGGGTTTTGGATTCCTACATAACCCAAGAATCTGTATAAAAAGGATCATTTAAGTGTTCAAAGTTATTTTAAGTTATTTTAATAATATTGCTAAATTATATTCTCAGGCTTCTTGTTCTAAGGACTTGGAGCCCACATGGTTTTTCTAGGAGCTGATGTCCCTGTTTCTGCAAATCAGCAGCAGTGAAGCTGAATCTGTTTGCAGAGCTCCACTATTTGCATCATTTCGACACAACAGATGAATCCCACCTTAGACAGGGTTTGGAGATATTATCTACCAATAGCCCCCTTGCGTGTCAGCATGTGGAAGCAGTAGCTTAAGTATTTGCTTCTTTTGAAATCACGGACTGCCCTGTTTCTTTATGTCTGTGTGCACATGGCTTTTGTTATTATTTTCACTAGCGTTGCCTTACACTTAAACTAATAAGATAATGAGAATACCCAGGCTCATAAGACTAAATGAGGCTTCGAAATACTATTTTTCTCCCTCAGAGTACCTTTTACTTGCACATATTCCCCTATCATTGCATGACATTGGCTTCTGAAGTGTGACACGTGGCTATCCCGATGTTGTTATTTTGCTTTGCAGTACAGAATCGGGCAGCTGTACATGATAAGCAAGCACAGCCATGAGCAGAGCGACCGAGGGGAAGGTGTGGAGGTGGTGCAGAACGAACCCTATGAAGATCCAAACTACGGCAATGGTCAGCTAACAGAAAAACGGGTCTATCTCAACAGGCAAGTATGAGAAACTTTCTCTCAGCATGGGCAGTAGTAATAACTTGCAAGGAATCTCCCTCACACACAATAACCTTCGTGTTTCAAATAAAACATGCTCCATGAATATGGGCCACTTCCCAGCAGCTGCAGAAAGAAGGAAGGTAGGATAAAACTCCTGCTTGAAGTAATTAGTTGTCCTTTTATTAGAGTATTGCACATATTATTACTTGATACAGTGATATTCTCACTTCATAATACTTTTACAAGGCCAATTCCCTATTCTTGCTGACAAAAGATTTGCCTCAGTGAAGTGAATGACGTTGTGAATGTCCATCAGGCTTGTACAATGATGACTTTTTGCACAGTGAGAGACTTAAAGACATGATGGAAAATACTGCTTTTGTTTCCCAAAAGTCCCATCATTTCTTAAAGAGAAATATGTGTCTCTTCCTATGGCAAAATTATATTGCTGAAGGTCAATGTGTCCACAGTCAAAGGACAGAGATGTTTTAAAACATATATATATATATATATATATGTCGTGTGAAATATATTGCTCAATCTGTTGCTATTTTTATTACTGCTAGTCTAATTGAATACTACTGTTTTCCTGATATTCTTCTATTTCCCTGGACCTCTTCCGTTTTGTTAAGCTTTGCTACTCTTCAGCCTTTAGCAGGGGGCATAGAAACACTATAGCTTTTTATTTTACATTGCAAGTAACTCCTCCAGTGCCATCCTGACATATTTGACTTAGGCTGAATTGAATCAGTGGCAATGGTGCACACATGCACATGCACACAGAGCTCCGCGCTGTATCTGTCACCAACATTTAATATTACTGTGTTTGGAACCCTGTTTTCTCACAGGGTAGATACAAGACAAGGAAAGTACAATAGTGTTCCCATTGTAGAGTTCCTTAGTGTTTCTGGATCTTTCTTTCCTTCATGTAGAAAAGAGATAAGGCATCAGGCACCACTGAATTAGCACCTAGGAGCAGCTGAGAACCTCTGCAATGGCTATGCTGGAGCTGTGTGCAGGAGGCACTGCGGAAGCTGCTGCTGTTGTGCAGACCACAAGGAACCAACCTTGGCGAAGCTCTGTGGACCTACAGCAACTTGGGAAGCTCACCTGAAGCTGCAGGGGATATTTAAAGTCAGGCTTACTCAGTTAAATGATGGATTATCAATATTTTGTGGTAATCGTCACTAAATTTGCCATCTGAGGCTTTCTTGGTAGGACTGTGGCACCAGTGGAGTTTTTTAGTATTTTGGAAAGTTTTGGTTTTCAGTTCACTTCAGATCTGTATTATGAGACTAGAAACCTATCTATCCATTATGACATGTTGCAGCAGAAACTTAAGTTTGTATTTACGACTTTTCTTAATGAGAGAATATAATGCTTTTATTTCTGCTGCTAGAGGGATGGTGTCATTGTCTTGGGCCTGGCAGCGTAGTCCCTGGTTTTGCAGGAGTCAGGATCGATCCATGCGATGACACTTCACAGATAAAGCCTATCTCCTTGCAGCACCTCTTGGCCAGACTCACACTCAGTCCCTTCGTAAAAGCCTTCTCAGAAGGGTGTGTTATGAGACCTTGAGCTTATGCTGTTCGGATGAAACCAAAGGAGCTTATCTCAAGCACATAGTGCACTGTGTAGTGCCTCTGCAAGTGTGCAGCATTTGTACCGACACAGATAGCTGCACTTTACGCCTTGTTTCTGCAGCAGTGACCACTGGGGTCACAGTAGGAAACTCTCCTATTTAAATGGACATTTTCAGAATCCTCCACTTAAAAAAAAAAAAAAAGTTCCAGTTCCTACAAGCTGAACAGAGTGAATTCAGAGATAAAGCCTTAGTGCACTTCCTGCTCTGAACTGCCCTTGTGCTGCAGAACTGCAGAAGTCCAACTACAACTACACTCTAGGAAATGCAGCCAATGGAAAATATGAGCCATGTCTGGCTGTCCTGATCCGGTGTTGAGCTGGATAACCTCAGCCCTTCTCATGAGTGATACTGGATACTGCATGGTGTCCGGCTGAAGGAGCCCCAGAGCAAGCTCAGGTTCGAAAAGGCAAGGAGAGCTTGGATGACGTGGAGCTCTCGGAGAAGCAGCAGTTCCTCAACACTTTGCCAAATCTACCTTAAAGCCTGCTGAGGAAAGCAGCCCATGTATTAGACTTCTCCCTCCGTCTTTCTTTCTTGCATTAATAACCCTTGATTTCCTGTATTCTTATTTTTATTTTCCAGCCATGGATCTAAAATAGTTTTCTTGTGATTAAATTCCACAATAGAAAGAAAAAGTGACTGTTTATTGCCTTAGCAGTCTCGGCTTTGAAGTGGCAGGAACAGCCATCCTTCTCTGCCTGCACAGCTAATCTTGGTCCATTTTTATTCTGCTGCAACTTTTAGATGCTGTTTGAGCAGCTGGGCTTTCAAGCTGTGCCCGGGTACCTTGCAGGAGACGTGCTTTGTTTCTGCAGCCCCATACGGCACCTCCTCGCGCCGAGCTGCCGGAAGGCAGGAGCGTCACTGCGCAGGGACCCGCAGCGGGCAGGTTTGCTCAGCGTCACACAGCTGGGAGCAGCTGCTCCGTGTGCTCGGAAACGCGCTCACGAACAGGGAATGAGCTACTGTCAGCAGTGCCTACATAACTGCAGCAAAATTTATGATATTCGTGCCTCCATTACTGGTCAGGAAAAGCAACAATCCACGGTCTCACGGCTTTGAGCATCCAAACCAGCTCCTGTTACCTTCATGTTGGTGGTGCTTTTTGAACTGTCCTGAAGAAACCAGAGCAAATAATTCATAAAATGGTTCTTGTTTACTGGCGGGTTTGACTGGAATGCCTTTAAGAAACATTTCCCCCTTTCCTGAACTTCATCTGGGGAAGGAAGCAGTAAAAAAATGAGAATGTGATCCACAGATACATAGACTGCCAAACTAAAAATATTATATGTTTGAGCATTCTTGCTCTGAAAGGACCTTTAAAATATTATTATGCATTCATGACTGTGAACTGAGAGTAATGTGTGTTTTGCCCATAAAATTATTTATTTTGGAGACGTACTGTGCCAGCAAGGACAGGTTGACAGGCAAATACTCTAATAATTGCAAAAGGAGCAGTCGTATGTGAACAAAGATATTGCTAATAAAATGTTCTGGTGCCAATGTCAGCCTTAGCAGAGTTCTGAATCCCTTACTGCCTCTTTGCCCTCGCTGGAGGACTGGTTGAAGGGCTGCATCTGTGGGTTCCTAACGCGTAGGCATCAGAGAGCATGAAGTCTGGTAGGGATAAAGGAAGGAGTAGGGAGTCATAAAGAGGCACAGGACAGACCAAATAAACATCAAAAATATAATGCAGTGAAGTGTGATTATGCAGTATGCAAAATGTTGTTAAGAGACTGTACACAAGAAAGGTTTATGCAAAGAAAAGAATCCAGCTTTGAGCAATGCCATCAAAGAGCAAAAGTCAATGCACTTGAGCTTGAATTTTTTGATAATGTGCTAATGTCTGCAGTTTGCCTCTGGGCAAATACAATATTTATACATAGCTAGATCATGGTTAAATAAACCTTAAAGATCCAAACTATTTTCCCCAGAAATTTTGGAGGGTTGTTTTACTTTCTACATATGCAGTTATCCAAGTTATCCAAGTAAAACCGTTTCAAATATTTACGCTTGGAAAACTGAAGCTTGAAAGCATCTACTCCAGCTCAGTAAAGATCCTGTCTTAGGCTGGGTGATCTGTGCTACGCTTGGCCTTACTCACTAATGATTTTAACGGGGTCCCTAAATTCAGTGGTATTCCCGGTCTCCAAATCTCTGCCTTCTTTTGAGGGACTAGTCCTGGGTCTTTATTACTGGCAGCTCAACTGATTATAACTGATGTCAGAGGAAAGGGCTGAATGCTGTATTTGCATAAGCTTACAATCTTTTTAAAATGCCTATTTCTCACTTTGTGATTCCAGTGAGTGACCGTGCTAAAAAGAAATGCTCACAGCCTTCCACACTCTTCTTTCATTACCCTTTAAGGGTCTTACCATGCGCCGTGGCCATCTGCATGTTTTTGCATTCTTAATCTACTGCCGTTGTACTGCTGCACTACGCTTGGAGCTATGACATCAAGTACCAGTAACTCTCTTGGCTTCTGCGTTTTACTTTTCCAACATGAGCAAAATGGGACTAATTCAACCTGAAGGCCCCAGAAAGGTGTTTTGAGAAATGAGTTATTTTTAATCTAAAAACTTCATAATCAAGGTGTGGTGTTGGTGGTATGGGAAGAACTACCTACTGAGGCTTTGGGTAGTTGAACGTAAAAGTTTGTGTGCCAGCAAGGAAGAAATTCCGTAAGGAAAAATAATGGAACCAGAGTCCCAAGTGGGCTGTCATGGAGTGCTGACTGGGACCTCTTGGTAGAGAGGGCCTCCTTGTGGCCAGGAGCACCCTGACCCAGGGACACGTGGCATCCTTCACCTGCGGAGCTCTTCCACGTCCAGAGGGTTGAGTCCACAAAGCTTTGGCGCTGGCCCCGAAACTGTGTGCTCTGAGATGGGATATTGGGGGGCATCGGTGTCGCTGTGTCCTGTGAAATGCTGGCCCAACTGTGAGCGTGTTTGGCAAGTGTCTTTTTTATTACCAATCCCTTAAGTCAAAACAAGTTCTAATTGTATATTTCCTTTTCTTTTCAGCAAACTACCTAGCTGGGCTAGGGCAGTTGTTCCCAAAATATTTTATGTGACAGAGAAGGCTTGGAATTACTATCCTTATACAATCACAGGTAAGGGATAAAGCAGAAATGAAAACGGACTTTTCCTTGTTGGGTAGATAAGTTTCTCTTCAAAAGCTTCAAGTAACATATTGAAACACATATATTAAGGAATTTTTACAACTCCTGTGGAATTGCATTTATATATCCTTCTCATATTGATTAGTATGAGAAAATAAAGATTATAGACAAAGAATGTGTTAGGTAAGAAGGGGAGTCCTCCTTTCAGTGCAATTTTTTCTTTGCAGAGAAAGTATCAAGTGCTTAAATTCTGCAGTGACTTATGCCCTTGATTGTCCCATAGACTTTAGCTAAATATAAATCAGCAGATTATCTGGCACAAATATTCTGATTATTATTGTGTGTTTACTGTAAGGATCCTGCATCATTGTTTTGTTTCACATTTCTTTTTTTTTTTCTTTTCCCTCATCATTCTTTTTTTACAAATGGACAATTGGAAATCAGAATACACAGTAAGTTTTTCTTCCTCTTTTAATTTTAAAAGTACAGTAATTTTGTAAAATGCAGTACTGGAATCCAAGCTGATTCCTTTATAATGTGCTCTCAATAGTGGAATTTTAAATCTATTTGTTTAAGAAGTTTAAGGTTAACTTTGAGCTGTTTCTGTGGGAATCTATAAATTATTATTTTTTTAGTATTTTAAAATGATTTACTGTATTTTTAGTCACTACCTGTAACAAAGAGAAACCTATAAAAAGGAACAAGACTTTTAAGGTTCTAGTTATTACTTGTAGACATAAGAACAGATTTTGCTTTATTTATTGTTTTATTAACTTATAAAATGTTCATCTCTGGTATAGTATCTGGGAAACTGCACAATCTGTAGACAAAATTAAATATAATCCGGGCCTGGTGCCCAGCAGCTATTCCCTCTAGCAGAGCTAAGGCAAAACCCAGCTTATAAATCATGAGAAAATAAAATTTGTTTTCCATGTGCTGGCCATGTAGGTTTCCAGCAAGATGAGAAGAAGGTGAGGAGGGAGTGCCAGGCAAAGGGTCCTTCAGATACCTCAGCCTTGATTTAGATTGTACTTCTGTCTACAGATGAAACATAACCCTCTCGTTTTTGTTAATACTGCAGTGTTCAAAACACTTGTGCAGTTTTTTTTTAAAAAAAGGAAGGAACAGAGAGAGGAAAAATATTCGTATGTGAATGAGACCAAAAAAGCCATTCAAAGGCACAGATCTCAGAGCTGGAGGCTTAGTTTTGAAAATGCTATGACCAAGTTTGAACAGCCAAAGTACTGCACCCTGCTTTTCAATATGTACTGTAGATATCCATTATATACTCTGCATTATTCCCTCTGTAAAATTGATTACCAGAGGAAACCCTTCTGTGCTCTAAAGGACACTGATTCTCAGCTATTATTGTGAGATATGATCTTCAATAGGGCCTGTCACAGTTTACATTCATTAAAGGTTTACCTGTTGATAGCAGGTTTAATATGAGATAGAGAAGGTGATATGCTGTGTCACAGTGGTATCCATTACTTTGTTTTCTATTCAATTCTTTTTCATTAACCGTTTACATTTTCAACAAAGGGGTTTGAAAGAAAAGGAAAAATACTGGTAGAGACTAAAAAACTTCACTACACAGAGGCTAAACTAAATATGATTTCTTTTGGATCAGACTTTCACACTATGCAAAATCTTAAAAACTTAACTGAAAGAGGCAATTAATGCTGAAAAGGGTGGTAGGGGACAGAAAATTATATCTGAATTTGAAATGCAGTACTTGAGACATCGTCAACACCAAAGAGCAATGCAGTACCCAGCAAGCTAAACCCTGATCCTGGTCTGTGTCTAGCCTGATGAGACAAGAGCTGGAACACATCTCAGCAAAGATTTGTAGAAGGGAGACAATTAGCGAGATGTTCAACATCAGCAAAAATAGCATTGCAGGGTCAAGGCGACTTGTAAAGAAAAAATTAAATCAGTCTACAACTGTAGAAGGTAGGCAACACTGTCACCAATTGACACTCTGGTTCTCATGAGTATTGGAGACCGATTCTTCACCGTGGTGCAAGGCAGCACAACTAGAAATATTCAGATGAAATTAAGAAAATTGTATTTCAGATAAAAATCTGAAATACCTTTTTATGAAGCTGTTAGGCTATGAAATGATTTTCAAGGGAAAATGGAGAAAGTGTCTCTGCCTTAAGCTGTTGAATCTAGAACAAAAATGCTAAATATACCATTGGGAATAATTCCTATGCTTCTCTAAATTTTGATTTGCTGCATTCATTAGAGACTTCTGAAAGAAAGTATGAAACAGCACAGATACTGCCAAAAATAGATAGAATCGCTTGGAAACACTTTTCTAAAGATAGTGAATTCACTCTAGAGGGTCTGAGGGACATCCTAAGAATTATATTGAGTCTCCTTTCAGGAAAACTGATTCTAAAGGTAGGCCAGCAATTGGATAAACACAGCATAATCTTATAAAGTCAAGTGCACCCAGCTGGGAAGGAAAAATCAAAGCTTTCTAATCTTTCAAGTTGCACTCCAAATACAGAGTGGGAAGCTGCAAGGCTCAGGAGTGTTATTTCAATGTATGCTAGTAGCCTGGAAGAGGATGTGGACAATGGACTGAAGCTTGGTGCGAATATTAAGGTTTTTCTTTTGTCAAATGTGAAGGCTGTTAAGAAACAGTATTCAAGCACAACACAAGAATTCAATCATTTCATTCAGAATAATTTAATAAATCTGGTTTTCCTGTGAAATACTATGGATTCCATAAATTTGACCATCTTAAGGAGCTGGTACTTTGAGATCCTCTAAGAAACTTCAGTAGGTATTGAAAATAATTTCCAAAGTACTGTTCCCTGGGATGTGTAAAATGCTAGGAATGCCTTGGATGCATGAAAACAACCATGGAAATTAGAATGTTATGACGCTAGTACTCTATTCTGAGTGCAGTTTTGATGGTATCTGCTTTAAGGAAAGGTATTTGTTACACAGCAAACTCCTAAATTTGGCAGCTAACAGGAGAAGATGACTGCTTGGTTTGCTACCAAGTCTGATAACTGTATTAATAAAATGGAAACAAATGAGTTTAACAGAACTATTGTACAAGCAATGTTTTTTGTGATGTGTAGTGTGTGTGAAACACTGTAATGTCAAGAGAGCGTTTTAAAATGTTCACTCTGCAGTATGTGGAGGAGGACCTTGCTAAGAAAGACTTTCTATCAGGAAGATGAGACATGGGTAACATCCCAACAAATGTTTTTAATATCAAACCTTGAGCTAATCCTTGCAAGTTTCTTCCTGATACTGAGAGAAGGTACAAAAACTCTGCTTTAGGATCTGAAGGCAAAAAAGAGGTCCGGATTTGGGGATAACCATTTAGAAAATAAGATAGTGCTGTAAGGTTCTAACCCGTGTTTTAGTGGCTGGGGCTTTACTTGAGTACTGCACATGAGAAAGTGCAACTCTTAATCTCTCACATTTGGCAAAGGAGTGGCTTCATTTTTAATCTTGTAATTAGAAACCTGACCAGATAGCTTGCTAAAACAAATGTTTAATTTTTACTTACAAGCTCATTTAGTATTGTGTTTGAGTTAAGCTCAGAAAGTTTGGATGCTGTATTTAGGTGAAAGGCAGCCCTACAGAAGTAACTCCAGGCACTCTTTGCTGCAGGAATCAGTAGGGGACTAAGGTAGTGGTGGTGCCTCCAGTGAAACCAGAGGTGCTCCTGGGGAAGGGGTTGCCAGCTGCTGGGTTTTGCAAAGAATTCCTTTGCTGGAACCTTTCATAACAGGACAAGGGAGGAAAAATGCCTCCCAGCTATTAACAGGCACCTATCTGTCAGCTTACTGCAGCATTTTCAAATAAATGTCTTTAGAGTAAGAAACTTAGGCTAACTTTATATATATATGTGTGTGTGTATATACATATATATACACACATATATATATATATGGACTAATCTTTCAGGAGACTTTCTTATTTTTCTTTCCTGAGGTTGTGCAGCTAGATTAGAAATAATTAACTAGAAAGCAAACCAGTCTCTATTGCAAACCACATGTAAAAGGATTACACAGGACTAGTTTCTGTACCTGCAGTGGGATATTGGTAGACAATAAGCAGCATAGAACAAATTCCCATTTGACCTGTTCAAGTGACAGCTGAGGTTCTGGACAAGAGAAGAGCCTCGAGCAAACAAATAATCGGATCACAGGGTGACTCAGCCAGGGTGCAAACCAGAATTCATAAGATCAAAGTACACTGAAAATGAGCCTAACAAAGTTTAGCTGTCAAGGTGGAGTACAAAGGGATTAGGAAAAATAATAACAGCCTTCAGTCAAGCTGTCCTGAGTTTGAGGGCACAGTGTTTACCAGGGGTAGTTTCAAATACTTCTGCTGTCTGATCTAACTAGTTCCAGTGTTTTTAGCAATATTTCAATTCTCAGACTGGATTTTAAAAACAGTAAAAACAATTTTTACCCTCTTGTAATTACATATAATCAATGGCTTATTGTTCATTCTATTAATAGGAGTATATAAAGCAAGAATGATTTATTGTCTGCAGAGAAAATAATTCTTTTAACTCACCAATGATTCATATTAAGTTCAGAATAGGATGCAAACTCAGAATATTTATGGAAAGAATTAGGAGCAGAAAGCAGGAGACGAGGCTGCCTCTGAGGATGTATCAGAATGACACTCATTCTTCTACAACAAATGCCAGTGGCAAGAACACCTTGCATGTGTCAAGGCCCCAGGGTGGTAGCTGCTAAATGTTTGATTATCAACCTGCTGTTTTCTGATTACTTTGAGAACAGACATGTTATATGCTGTTGTCATTGCTATTTTTATCATCAGATGATAGAATCGAGGAGAAAGGAAAATAATTGTTTCAGATAAATATTGCAAAGGAATTTGTAGGATTTTTTTTCCAGTGTCTTCCTTATCTCTGTTCCAGGATTGGAGCCTAAAAGTAACTAGCAGAGCAGAGGACAACTGGTAACATTACTCTAGTAAAACACAAATCAGCTGCTTTAGGGATTCTGGGAAAAGTACAGACCTCAGTAGCATTTATAGGAAACAAATACCATATTTTTAGAAAACAGCAAATCTGTATCCTTAATAAATTAATCCCATTGAATCAACACTTTCTTTACAGAATCAAACGGCCTATGAGAATTCTTTTTTTTTTTTCCTCCCTACCTCTGGTTTATTATAAAATTATGCAGACACCTCCACTGGCTCATGAGCCTGCCCTCTTCCCTTGTGCATGCTGCTTCTCACTTCCATTCTTCCTCAATAAACAGGTTGCTGTTCCCAGGCATCAGAGAAGATCCTAAGGGAAGACAAAACCACAGAGATAACAGTGTTGAGTTTCACAGGTTAGGGGCAACCTGTTAGTTGACTGTTCCATTTTCAAGTTATTGTATATAATACAAATAGAGATTTTCTTCTTGAACTTGTTTACTTGAATTTAGCTCCTTTG